ATGCATTTTGCAGTGCCATTCATGCTTCCGGCCCCTTTCACAAGGGCGCCTCCATTCTGTCTCAGTATTGGACCCATAGAGTGACCCACTGCTGATTCAGATCAGAATGGAAACAGATGTTACATATATGACATCAGTGTCCGTTCCGATTTTCACTCCATCTTGTTTTGGAGGGAACCACCATGAGATGCCAGATGTCAATGGGTGTACGTCCATTTATATCCATTTACATTGTACTTGAATGGAAACAAACTTTTTTGCGTTCAGTCTGGCAATCTTGAACTGACCTGGGTGTTAATGGGGGAACATCCAATTAGATCTGGCCACTCATAGGGATACATTGCAAACTGTAATACTTTGGGGTTTAGATACACTTTCATTACGCTAGTGTGCATGGCCCCTAAAACTTTGCAAATCAAAGGGGCAAAAGTACAGTTTATACGTTGGGAACTGACAACCACTTTACGCACCAACTTCTTGGACATCCCATTTAGGTGTTTTTCCTTATCTGCAAATGCCGGCAACTATTTTACAGCCTACGTATTTCATAGGTGTAAGGGCCGTGTGTAGACACATGCAAACAAGAGTCTACAAACCTCAGTGCAACCAAGTGCTAAAAAGACACATCTATAGGTCCAAGAGAAGTGGGTGGAAAAAAAATTGGTAAAACTGTTTACAACAACGGAGTTCTGTATTCTGGGACATTTGTAAAAAGAGCATAATGCATCATAATCAAGAAGAGAGCATGACACTCTAACCTAGAAAAGAGATAAGATATAGCTAAAACAAACACACAAAGTCCATTCAGAAACCAGCTTTTTGGTAAGTAAGCAAGTTCCTGCCTCTGGGATAGAGGTTCCAGGGATCAGTCTCAGGATTGACCAGCTTTATGTCACATAAACATTACATAATACAACTAAAGATCCAAATATTAGAGGTGCCAGGATGTCAATGCTCATTAAAAAGTCCAAATACACCAAGGTCAATGGCTCTGGTAAGGTGCCTCTGACAGGATAACAAGTACCCTTGGTGGATACTTAGAAGAAGCTTAGAATGTAGTCATCTATTAAATGGGTGCCAGATCAAATAGGCAATACAACAAAAGATCAAAATATCAGAGGCGCTGGGATCCCAATGCTCATTCAAAAGTCCAAATGTACTAAAGTTTTCCAAGCAAGTTCAATGGCTCTGGTAAGGTGGCCCATAGTAAGGTACCCAGAAGAAGTGTAGAGCATAGACATCTACTGAAAGGGCACCAGACCAAATAGGTAATACAACAAAAGATCAAAATATTATAGGCGCTGGGATCTTAATGCTCATTCAAAAGTCCAAATGCACCAAGCTCACTGGTTCTGGTAAAGTGCCTCCGACAGCAAAACAGGTCTCCCTTGGTAGATACTTAGAAGAAGCTCAGAATGTAGACATCTATGGAATGGGTGCCAGACCAAATAGGTAATACAACAAAAAATCCAAATATTAGGGGTGGTGGGATCTCAATGTTCATTCCAAATGCACCAAAGTTTTCCAAGCAAGCACAATGGCTCTGGTAAGGCGGCCCGTAGTAGGGTACCCGGAAGAAGCTTAGAGCATAGACATCTATTGAATGGGCACCAGACCCAATAGCTAATACAACAAAATATATAACTATTAGAGGTAATGGGATCTCAATGCTCATTCCAAAGTCCAAATGCACTAAAGTTTTCCACGCAAGCTCAATGACTCTGGTAAGGCGGCCCGTAGTAGGGTACCCAGAAGAAGCTTAGAACATAGACGTCTATTGAAAGGGTGCCAGACCAAATACTGTAGGTGATACAACAAGAGAACCAAATATTAGAGCTAGTGGGATCTCAATGCTCATTCCAAAGTCCAAATGCACCAAAGTTTTCCAAGCAAGCACAATGGCTCTGGTAAGACGGCCCGTAGTAGGGTACCCGGGAGAAGCTTAGAACATAGACGTCTATTGAAAGGGTGCCAGACCAAATAATGTAGGTGATACAACAAGAGAACCAAATATTAGAGGTAGTGGGATCTCAAAGCTCATTCAAAAGTCCAAATGCACCAAATTTTTCCAAGCAAGCTGAATGGCTCTGGTAAGGTGGCCCATAGTAAGGTACACAGAAGTAGCTTACAGCATAGACATCTATTAAATGGGGGCCAGACCAAATAGGCAATACAACAAGAAAACATGGCAGCATTGTCACTCCACAGTACTTAAAGAACCCTGTTAGCCACCTCCATTCACACTTGAGCTGAGCGTATCTCAGGTGATTTGCACATTTTCTAGTTACTAGGAGGAGGAGGAGACAGTTGTTAGGCATGACATGGAATGAAAATGCATGTTACCTGTGTTTTTAAGGAGCTCCTATTGAAGTCTATGAGACCAAGGATGCATGATTCTGCCTAAAACAAAGGTCACATGCTTTTTCTAGCGTTGAACCACACGCGACAGGCAATGCAACACTCAGGCCCCATTTGCACCCAAGCATTCTATAGCTCTATGGTGCCTGTTCACACCTGAGCGTTCAAGCGTCTGTAACAAAATGCCTATTGCTCCAAAAAGTAGAGGAGCCTCTTTTCAGACAGAATCAAGCCTCGCAGACTTTAATGGGAGCACCCGAAAAATTGCAAAATGGAAGTCATGTGATCACTGTACTCAGGACTACATGTCCTTTCTGCCTTACCAAAACCATGCATGACTGCCGTTAGGCAGCGTGAGAGTTTCACAGCGATACCTTCCTGGGCAGTTGTGATGTCTGGATTCCCCCCGCTGTGTGTTGTGGTTTCACCCACCAGCCACGACAGCAGAATTGGACACAGTAGTGATGTAGTGGCTGGCAGGAGGGACCACAGCACATAGCGGGGGGAGGGGGGACAGGCATCTGACACAGGAGTGTGTCAGACACAGAAAATTGGACTTACCCCCACAGGTTCTTTTTTGCACTTTCGGGCAGCTTTTAAAGAAAGGGGGCGGGGGAGGGGGGCACAATAAATACGCAAATCTTGGTGGAAGTGGAACTAAATCTGAGATGTAAAAAATTATGTTTGCATGGTAGGAGACCCTGTATGTCTCTTTTGCCATAAAATAATTTCCCCCCCTTCCCCCACGGCCAGCAAATAGGTTATTTTATAAAGTGTACACTGATAGCCACATATGCGCACTACAAAATCCTGAGAAAGCACCAGCGATGGAGAGACCCGGCCACGACACTATCTGCATGGGGTTTGTATGTTCTCCCTGGTGCACGTGAGACACCTTAGAGTGTTAGCTCCTGAGGGCAGAGACTGATGTGAATGCAGATTGCTGATGCTACATGAACGTGACATGAGGGCACACGGGGCATATGAGTTTACCGCCAGCAAAATCTTCTCCGTACACTGCACGCATGTAACATTCATACGTTTACATAGATACAGCCCAAATGAGCTGTACTGGCCGCCGACATGTAAATATCAGCAACGTGTAGTCACCCACTGATTCTATACCATCACTAGGCTCCTACTGACTAGTGTGCTTGATTGTTAGGACACTGGTGGCTTCAACTGAGTACATTTCAGATGTTTGCATGTAAAACATAGCACAAATGTTTACATGCGTACAGGATAAAATGCGCTCCATGCGCAGGTTCTCGAATGCAGATGTTTTATTCCATTCTAGGTTTTAGTAGTGTTACACTGCAGACCGATACGGACCAGTGTAGATGGACCCATAGAATACAAAGCTGATGCTTTCAGATCCCTAGAAATGATGTATTTTAGTACAGCCGTGTGAATGAGCCCCAAGAGTACATGACAGGTTTAATTCCGCTTATGGGGGTCGCCCATCGCAATGTCCAGCAGGGAGTGGGGGGAGGGGCCGCGATCATCATTCTTGCTCAAAGTCATAATTTGCATATTGGCAAAAAGTCATATAGTGAAGGGTGCCTACACTGCATTACAAGGATCCAGGCAGGAGAATGACTTCCATATACTGATACAATGTATACACAGCACATACTGATATAATGTATACACTGCACATACTGATATAATGTATACACTGCACATACTGATACAATGTATACACAGCACATACTGATACAATGTATACACAGCACATACTGATATAATGTATACACTGCACATACTGATATAATGTATACACTGCACATACTGATACAATGTATACACAGCACATACTGATACAATGTATACACAGCACATACTGATATAATGTATACACTGCACATACTGATATAATGTATACACTGCACATACTGATATAATGTATACACTGCACATACTGATACAATGTATACACAGCACATACTGATATAATGTATACACTGCACATACTGATACAATGTATACACTGCACATACTGATACAATGTATACACAGCACATACTGATACAATGTATACACAGCACATACTGATACAATGTATACACAGCACATACTGATATAATGTATACACAGCACTGATCAGTATATACTGGCGCAATGTATACACATGACTGATCTGTATATACTGGTGCAATGTATACACATCATATACTGATACAATGTATAGACAGCACATACTGATACAATGTATACACATCACTGATCAGCATATACTGGTGCAATGTAAACACAGCACTGATCAGTATATACTGGCGCAATGTATACACAGCACTGATCTGTATATACTGGTGCAATGTATACACATCATATACTGGTGCAATGTATACACATCATATACTGATACAATGTATACACATCACTGATCAGCATATACTGGTGCAATGTAAACACAGCACTGATCAGCTGATCTCCATTCTGCAGTGGATTCCAACACCCAGCTTCCCGATAATAACTGATGGAACCAGTCTGACACTAGGGGCGGGGCCTCAGGCTGACAGCTGTCAATCAATGCCAGGCAGAAGGTACCCGGCCGGGAGAGGGTGAAGCTTGTGCATTGTACTCGGTATACAGACAGTGAGTAGCCCCGCCATTGTGTAGAATAGGGATCACAGCGGTACCTGTCACCCTCCGATCCCCGCATTCCGTCTGTAGATCCCTGCTCACCGCGATGGAACATTGACCCGGCCGGTCACTTCCAGGCCACGCCCACATAATGCGGCGACGTCTTCATATTGTAGAGAGAACGAAACTGAAAGCAGGGGAAGGGGCGGGGCTTGGGAGGAGGTCACGTGGGTTGTATGTGCTCGGCTCTGCGGCTGTCATTATGATTACTATGTTACATTCTCTGTCTTCCCTCTACAAGTGTTGTCCTGTGTTTGAATGATGTGATAAAAAAAATGATGGCAGAGCATTGTGCTGGAACACACTGAAGGGAATTTATCAAAACGAGAGCAGAATCTTAAGCAGTTGCCCGTAGTAACCAATCAGCTGCTCTCTTTCATTTTCAAAACTGAACTAAACAAACGAGAGAAGCTGATTGGTTGTAATGGCAACTGCTCTACATTATGGCTGCTCCAGTCTTGGGAAATTCCCCCCACTACATTTTTGGTGTTGCAACACATGCCAATAGCATCAGTGGCGACTCTAGGAACAATATATAGGGGGGGCACATAAGATACCACAGTCAAAACTGGGGGGGCACTAATAAAGGTCACCACCAAATCATACCACTGAAAAAAACGAAATAAGTATATATAAATAAGATTAGAAATATGAGAGTAATGCGGTATGCGATGATACCTTGTTATTGTACTAACCCCTCATCTATCCACTACATATCTAAGCCTGTACAGGCTCCCAGGTGGGCTAGATGGGCTGTGTGGGCTCTCAGGTGGGCTGCGGGCTCTATGCAGGCTGTGTGCGGGCCCCCCATCATCAGGCTGCTAAAACACCTACCTTACCACTCAAGCGACTCTGCTCGACTCCCTGATCGCTCTTTGGCAAAGGCCGCAACAGACCAAGCTCCTCCTCCTGAAAACTCCCCTTCCTGCATGCAGACATCCCAACCTGCAAAACCTTATTTCAGGGAGGTGCCAAAATCTCTGCACAGAGGAGCTTACGCTCTACTGCAGGATGGCACCGGCTGTACTATGCAATGCAGAATGGCTTTAGCTATATAGGACAACAACTCCCAACAATACTTTATATGGCAATGCAGAATAGCTTCAGCTATAGAGGGCTACAACTCTCAGTAATGCTTCATACGGCAATGGAGAATGGCTTCGGCTATAGAGGACTTCAACTCTCATCGATATTTTATACAGCGTTTGCAATTCTGCATTACCGCTTGAAGTTGTGGTCCTCTATAGCCGTTACCATTCTGCATTTCTGTATAAAGTATTGCTGGGAGTTGTAGTCCTCTATAGTTGATGCCATTCTCAACTGCTGCAATGCAGAATGGCACCAGCTATAGAGGGCTACAACTTCCAGCAATACTTTATACAGAAATGCAGAACAATTCCATCAGTTTCAGAAGGTTACAAACAATGTGACTTAAGGCACATACCTTGTTTGAGTGTCCTCATGGTGGGAACACATGCAGCAGGGAGAGGTGGTGGCCTCTGAAGTCAAGTGGCTGCTGCTCGTTCCTGCTGGCCGAGGCCCCAGCGCTGCCCCAAAGTGTGCCTGCAGGCTAATGTACTTTTGCCTCCCACCAGCTCTCGGCGAGAGGTACTTCAAATTCCGCGGCTATTTTCCCCTGAAGTCGGCTATGGGGCGGATCTCAGTGACGTTGTGGGACCTGACTGGAACCTGTGCACCACCGGCTGCTTGTTCGGTGCGGCCGGTGGAGGGAGAGACAATTTTCTCGTTGGACGGGGAACTGGGCAATTTCAGCCCCCCCCCACCCCCCCACTTAGAAAATAGTCTCTCCCTCCGCTGCTCTGACTGAGAGAGCCACCGGCCACACTGAACAAGCAGTGGGTGTACACTCGGATCCGCCACTGTTAGCGGGGGGGGAGGGGCAAGGACTAACCTAGAGGAGGCAATTGCCACCCCTTGCCCCCCTCTAGCGACGCCACTGAATGGCATGGAGGTAAAAATAAGGAAATAAAATCCCATTAATGATGCATTGACACACGTGGAAAACGCACACTGACATACATGCAATATGTGCACAATAATGTGTGTGCTGTGGAGCGAATGGACCCTAAAGTGGGGTTGGTTTCTGCAAGCACCTGGAGTTTGTTTACACTGGCAGGCTGCCACGGTTCTGCCCTTCACTGAAACAAAGGTACAAAAAAATCATGAGGTGTCTCTGCAGTGAAATTTTATGATGAATTTCTCCACAATGCACATAGCTACAGACAGTGGTGGAACTATCACCATAGCGACCCAGGCAGCCGCTATGGGGCTCAGGGCACAGGGGGACCTGGCCAGGATGAGCAACAAAGGGGTCCCCCTGATGCCGTGCGGGCCGCCATGGCATCGCAGACTGCTGGCTGTCACTTGCGGCTGTGCGGAGGAACTCGCCGCTGTCTAGATCACTGACAACCTGTGCAGCGGTACGTTCCTCCTCACAGCCGCTGCTGAGCCAGTGACAGCCAGCAGCTTGCGGTGGAGGAGGCCAGGGCCCGGCAGTGGAGGAGGAGGCGGGGCCCAGCGGTAGAGAAGGTTGACAGCGGATTGGGGCTGACAGGTAAGAGGTGTGGAGGGGTGTGACCAACCCACTTAAAGGGTAACAATAAAAATGAAGAATTCCTTTAAATATCGTGCCGGGGGGGGACCCCTTAACCTGCCTGTAAAGTGGAGGCTCTGTACGATGTATAGAAATCCTAGGCCACCTGCCCAGATGCCGCCCCCCCCCCCCTCCTTTGAATGAGTAAGGGGTACGTTTGCCACACGTCCCTATTGATTTCAATGGGTTCAGGTAAGCGCAACAAACCTCATAAAGTTGTTTGCACAACACGCATTTAATCGCGTGCAACCACTGAGCAGAAACATGTGTCTTGCTGGCTGCATTTGGGGTACCATTAGAAATGCATGGCACCGCAAGCGCATTGCACGTTTTGCAGCATTTCAGCAAACGTGTGCCAGATGCGCACAAAAAAATCAGCTTTGACGTGCGTTCGTGGAATGCGCAGGTGTGAATAAGGGCTGAGGCAAGCTTACCTACCTATATGTGGTTGCACACAGGGCTTAAAGTGACATTAAAGGCAAAACCTTTTTTCCACTGCTAATGTAAGGACTTACCTTGATGCCTCTTGATCCGATCATCTTCTTCTTTCCTGTAGTTTTCAGTAGTTCCTCCAGCATTGGTGCGAGTCTCCGATCCAGCTCTGACTCCTTTGTCTTCCTGACACTTCCTGTCCCACGGGGTGTCTGTGCGGGTGCACGCTGCCTGCATTCATTTACCTTGCATCTCTCCTCTTCTACTGGGACGAAGATATGAACTGTGCATGCACCCGCCCCAAGATCCTTTGCAGCTGCCTGAAGATATTCAGATGTTTGGGAGCACGCAGCGCAGACACAGGTAAGTTTTGACCCTTTTGTAAACTTTTTTTGCAAAAAAAAGTGAGTGTTTAAATATTCTTTAATCAGGGGCGTCCCGAGGCTGGGTGACACCCGGAGCGGTAACCGAGGGTCACACTGCCAAGACGTCATCGCGCACGCGCGGCAGTTTTCAGATACCTGCCGGTGGCCATCATGGTGATGGACGCCGGCAGAGAGAGGAGGGGACAGTCACCCAGCGGGATAAGGTATGCCGCCGGGTCCCCTCCTCCTCCTGATACTGTCGGGCGTTCGGTCCATGACCGAGCACCCGACTTTTCAGAGGGGGGTGACACCAAAATGACTGTATGTCATTTTGGTGTCACCCGGGTGCGGGCCGCACCCCCCTTGTGACGCCACTGCCTTTAATACACAATGGTATAGTCTGTGGCCAAGTGGTACAAGGCACTGAGCAAAGATACAGAAAAGAGTATCTGTGGTCATCAGGAAAATCAGGCATGGACTGTTGTGCAGCAGAAGAGTAGCCGGTAGCGGGGTCCAGAGACAGGTAATGGTCAGGAGGCAGATGATGAGCATAATCCAGGGTCAGGCAGCGGTGCAGGATGGCAGTGGGAAGTAACTTTAATCAAGGAGCCAAAGGCTAGGACAGGCAGCAGATGATACGCACAATCGAGGGACGGGCTGAGGTCAGGGCTAGGTGGCAGACAAGAGTGTAACCCAGGGACAAGCAACTAACTATGGTTAACCAGTGACATCACTGGTTGCCAGGATCTGGGCGGGATGCCGGCCAAAGTATCACAGGTTGGACAGGTAGCAACCTTGTACGCTCTGGCCGGAAAGGGGGCGGCAGTAGGGTTGCCAGCTTTTCTTCAAGCGAAACTTGAACACTCAAGTGACGTGTGGACATTTTTGTGGGAGAATGAGTTGTGGCTTTTTCATATGTAAATAGCGCCTCCCATTCATATGTAAATATCACAGTTGAGACTATTTTCAGTGGGGGGCCAGTAGCCCCTATCGTAATTTTGGTTGCCCCATCTGCCTGACATCTTGTGTCCAGGTTTCTGCTGCCATGAAACCTGGACACAGCATTCAAAACCCGAACTGTCCCGGTGAATCCTGGACAGGTGGCAACCCTAGGCGGCAGGCAGACCTCATGTGACCCTAAGAGATGCCGCCCGAGGCAACTGCTTCAGTCTGCCTCATTTTCGGGTGGCCCTGAGGGTAAGGGGTATTCAGCCATCTTGACTTGCCATGTCAAGATGATCTGCCTCCTGAATCTGTGCTGTGAAATTTTCTCTCACTTTTCTTGATCTATCAGCAATCGCAATTACATTTCAAGTTGGAACCTGATTGGCTGTGATGAAGTGCCACTGCTGCAATTAATTCCAACACTTTGATACATTGAGGGGGATTTAGCAAAAATGGAGCATAAAAAATCTGGAGCAGTTGACCAAGGCAACCAATCAGCTTCTCTCTTTGGCTTGTTCAGATAAGATATGAAAATTAAAGACAGAAGCCAGATTGGTTGCCATGCACAGCTGCTCCAGATGTTGTCTGCTCTAGTTTTGATCAATTCCCCCCCCACCCCCATTGTATTTTCTATGTAAGCGATAACAAGAAGCTTATAGTGGGTGTGTTTGGGAATCCTCTCATGCACTACAAGCAGGGGTTCCCACAGCATATGTCAACAGACAACAGGACGGGGC